GATATTCTGTAACTACTTATTTGTACTTCTTAATCCCCTCATCTCTTCACCTGTTCCTGCCCACCCTCCTCCCACCTGGCAACCGTCAAAATGCTTTCTATATCCATGATTGTATCTCTGCTCTTCTGGTTTGTTTATTTATTGCTATTTTATTGTTCATTGTTTTGATTTTTTAAAAATAAATCCCTTTAACATTTTATATAACAATGGTTTGATGATGATGAACTCCTTTAGTTTTTTTCTTTTCTGGAAAGCTCTTTGTCTGCTCTTTGATTCTAAATGATAACTTTTCTGCGTAGAGCAATCTTGGCTGTAGGTCCCTGTTTCTCATGACTTTGACTATTTCTTGCCAATCTCTTCTAGCCTGCAAAGTTTCTTTTAGGAAATCGCTGGCAGTCTTATGGGAATTCTGTAGGTAACCAACTGCTTTTCTCTTGATGTTTTTGATTCTTTCTTTGCCTTTAACCTATGGCATTTTAATTATGATGTGTCTTGGAGTGGGTCTCTTAAATCCAGCTTGTTGGGGACTCTCTGTGCTTCCTGGACTTGTCTATTTCACTCACCAAATTAGGGAAGTTTATTTCCGTTATTTTTTCAAATAGATTTCCAATTTCTTGCTCTTTCTTTTCTTCTTCTGGCACTGCTATGATGTGAATATTGGAATGCTTGAAGTTTTCCCGAGGCTGCTTACTGTCCTCCATTTTTTGGATTCTTTTTTCTTCTTGTCGTTCTCATTGGTTGTTTTTAGCTTCCTTACGCTACGAATCATTGATTTGATTCTCAGCTTCATCCTTTTTATTATTGATTTCCTGTAAATTGTTCATTATTTCAATTAGTGTAAACTTCATTTCTGACAGGATATTTTTTATGCTGTTGAGGTCCTCACTAAGTTTTTTGAGTATCCTGACAACCAGTGTTTTGAACTCTGCATCTGATAGATTGCTTATCTCCATCTTGTTTGGTTCTTTTTCTGGAGTTTTGTTCTGTTCTTTCATTTGGGCCATGTTTCTTTGTTTCCTCATTTTGGCCACCTCCTTGTGTTTGTTTCTGTGTATTAGGTAGAGCTGCTTGACTCCGTGTTTTTGTAGTGTGGCCTAATGTAGTATGCATCCTGTAGTATGTGGGCCCAGTGGGACAGCCTCCCCTATCACCCAAGTTTGGTACTCCAGGTACACCTTCAGTGTGGGCTGAGTAAATCCTCCTCTTGTAGTTGAGCCTTGATTGCTGTTGGCAGGTTAATTGAGGGGATTTACCCAGGCCAGCCAGCTGCAAGGACAGGCTGTGACCAGTGACCACCAACATCTGTCCTCTGTGGAGGATGAGCTGTGCAGGGACAGAGTGGTGGTGCTCCTACGTGGTCTGCAGCTGTCCACTGGGTATTCAGGTTCTGGGGTTTCCCTGATGGTGCAGGCCAAGGTCAGCCCCCACCTGTGGTCTGCCTCAGGGCACCCTGCATGAACTGTAAAGCAATCTGAGATGGCTGCTACTTGCGCTGAGCTTGGAGATTCCTAGTGAAGCCAAGCTGTGCCTCTGGTGCTGGGCCTCAGTCCACTGAGCAAGAGGTATGGAGGCTGGGAGCTTGCTGAGGACAGCTGTTGCTTGTTTGAGAGGATTTAGTAAGTTGTGAATCATGAGCCAAGGCCACCTATTCATATGGAAAAGTCACTGTTAACAGCTTGGGTGGGCCCATAAGCTGGGTGGGACAGAGTCTCAGGGTATCCCCAGGGTGGGGAAAACAGTGTTAGCCAGGTTGATGGAGTCTCAGATATGGCACCTCTCTGCTGGTTCTGTGGCTCTTTGGGTGGAGGCTTCAGAAAAGGGACAAGGGCCTCTGCTTGCTTCTCTGTCTGGAAGAAAGCTGTTCCCCAGCTCTCGCCTTGATGCCAGAAACTTCAGTTCCTCCCTATATGCCACTAGTGCCTTTCGAGCTGCTACCCCAGTGCTGGAGCTCAGCGGGAGCGAGTCTGATTAAGTCTGTGTGTGGGTTCTTTAAGAAAGACTGCTTGGGACTCCAGAAGTTTCTTCTACTGACTCAATCCCTTGCTGGTTTTGGCAGCCAGAAGTTATGGGGAATTACTTTCCTGGCACTGGAACCCTGGGCTGGGGAGCTTTCTGTGGGGCTGGGACCCCCTGTTCCCCAGATAGCCCTCTGGAATTTATATCTACCACATGTGGATGTGGGAGCCACCTATTCCATGTCTGTGCCCCTCCTATCAGTCTGGATGGATGTGGTTTCTTAGTCCATCGTTGTCCACTTCCCTTTAACTCTATTTCTGACAGTTCTGAGTGAGGGTTGTTCTATATTTTAGTTGTAATTTTGATGTGGTTGTGCAAGGAGGCAAGCCGTGTTTACCTATGCTGCCATCTTATTGTACCTTTAAATTCCTAAAGGCATTGGGGACATTTTAAGAGAAAATCTTGATTACATTTAAAAGCCACAGAAAATCAGCATCACTGAACTTCTGAAATCTTTTTTTTCTGTCAACCCATCTTTTCTTTTTTGCAACAGAAAACATAATGAGTAGGAAAAGAAAACTTTACTTTGAATCTCTGTAATTAAACCAATTTGATATTGAATTATAAGCAGACCAGTTTTTCAGAGCAGAACACTATTCACAGGTCCATGAATATAAGGAAAGGCACATGAAAGGGCATTTCAATTCATGAAACAATAAAGTGTTGGAGTAATTCTTATAACTACTATTTCATGTTATACACAAAGCAGTGAATCTTGTGTGCATTGCAGATTTAAGTATTAAAAAGTATTAAGTATTACAAATATTGTAGAAACATATGAAATATTTTTAAAATCTTGAGATGAGAAATATTTTTGTGAAACCTGGAAACCATAAAGGAAAATTTTGACAGATTTAAAACTTTATAAAATTTTAAAACTTCTTTAGGACAAAATATTATATTACAAACCTAAAAAATAGCAACAAATGAGACAAAAGTATTAACAAACATGCAAAATATAACCTATGTGATATATTAGCATATCTATTCTTATTCAGCATGGTTTAAAAAAAAAAAGACCAACATAACAGCGGCCCTGGTAAGGCATATTCCAAGCATTTGTAGAAGAAAAACAAAAAATTAATAACCAAAGAAAAATGTTCAAATACACTAAAATTGTAATAATGCAAATTAAAACAAGAATGAAGCAAAACTTTTTATATTTAAATTGGCAAAATGCCTGTTTTTAATGTCTAGTGCACAGTGTACTGATTTAAAGTAAAAAAGTAACATATGAATAGTTTTGTTAGGTATATAATACAATTGCAATTGTGCTACAGCTTCTGAAGGCTGCCCTCAGGTTTTGGCTCACTGTCCCCTGGCTTCCTCTTTAAAGACAGCCACATCACAGCTCCCCGATCGTTCTTCCATAGGCACACACTCCTCTGGCACAAAAGGTTGTCTGATTTTTAAGGAAATAGCTAATTTGATTGGGGCCACTGGATTATCCAGAGTAATCTCCGCATCTCAAGACCATTAACTAAATCACATTTTCAGAGTCTCCTTCTCCATGTAAAGAAACAGATTACAGGTTCCAGGAATCACACATGGACAGCTCTGTTTCTGTTGGTATAAAATTCTCAAGCCCCGTATGGGTCTCCCATGTGTGTCATGGGGATTTGCTCCCCTTAGACAAAAGGATCCTCCACAGATCTTCCCTACATAATCACATACCTATTTTTGGCTTCTGCTGGGATGGCTGAGGGCACCTGTGAGCCACATATGTAATCTCATCAAAACCTTTCTGTGATGGAATACTCTGACTTTTTGCTACTTCTGAGGTTCCAGCAAAAAGTTGTACAGCCACACTTTTAGTCATTCTACAGAGCACACTTGCCTGACAGTGAATCTTGTAATTTTAGGATCTTTCATAACCTGAATTGCTCAGAATTTTCCAAATTACCACGTCCTGATTCCTTTTGCCTCACAATTTTACCCTCAGTTTATCTTGTTTTTCTCACATTTTACTGCAAACAGCAAAAAGAAACCAGCTGCATCTTCATCACCTAGAAATCTCCTTCGTGTACATGCAGAAAGTTCTGCTTTCCACAAATCTGCACAAAAGGGTTTGGTTATAATTTTTGTTACTGTATAATAAGAATCCTCTTCCTCCAATTTTCTAGAACTTCTGAGTCATAGCCAGTCACCTTTAAACCTTTAAACCTCCATATTTGTGCTGTTCAGGACAATTTTGTATTTCTTGAGACAACACAAATTTTTGTTTCCATGTTGGTTCCTCTTTCTGAGTCCTTAGGTCTTCAGCATCTGCATTTCTACAAACTCTTCAAGGCAATCTAGATTTTTTTTCATCATTCATCTTAAAATTCTTCCAACCTCTGTCCCCTGCCCATAGCCACTTGCTGCATTTTAAAAAATGCTTTATAGCCATAACCCACTTTTAAGAACCAAAGTCTCTATTATTTCCATATTGCTGCCCTAACAATTACTACAAATAATCACTTAAAACAACACATCTTATCATCTTATTATAATGTCAGTTGGAATTCTGACATGGCCTCACTGGGCTAAGATCAAGTTTTTAGCAGATCTTCATTCTTTTCTGGAGGCAGTAGGGGACACTCTGCTTCCTTGATTGTTCCTCCTTTTAAAGTCACCCACATCCCCTAGTCCCTCCTCCATCTTCAGAGCCAGCGCTGCTGCCTCTCTCTGGCCATTCCTCTACACTCACTGCTTCCTCTCTCCACAGCCAAGAAAGAGTCTCCACTTTTTAAGGCCTATGGGAGTATACTGGGGCCACCTGGGTAACCCAGGATAATCTCCCCCATCTCAAGGTCCTAGTTTAATGATCTCTGCAAAGTCCACTTGCCATGTGAGGTAACAGATTACAGGTTCCAGGGATTGGGACACGGACATCTTTGAGGAGCCTCCATTCTACTTACCACAATATTGTAAATAATAATAATAAATACTGGCATTATAAATCTTATTTCTCACATCAAAAGCAAGTAAAATCTTATTCTTACTTCTTTTCCTCTTGGTCTTTTCTGAAGTAGAGTTGTTTTCTTGATTCACAGTATCTACAAAATAATAGGTGGTGGTGAGAAAACAGAAATGAATAAATAAAAGTTACATATTTTAGGATAATTAATACAGCAGGAGGCTTGAGTTTATAAGGGTGTTTCATTTATTGTTTCTCTCCTTTATTTAATTTTAATTTTTATTTTTTTGAGATATTTTTTAAAAAAATGTTGTTGAGTTACTGAAAGCCTACTAAAATTGAAGTAGGACTTCAGAATTGGCCCTGGATCTTCCTCTACTTCTCAAAAGTACTTTGAAAAATACTTTTAAATACTTTATACTCAGTGGTAGGAACTGGTATCATATCCTGTTTAGATCATAAGATTATTATGAAGTAATTTGTGCAAAAGTTTGTACAAAATCACTGTATAAACCTGTTGCATGCTGGAGGACAGACAACCATAAAAAAATATGTGCTGGGAATGGTGGATTCCAAGACGGCTGTAGAGTGGGTGGAAGCTACCCTCAACTGCTCCCAGCCCCAATCAACCTGAATAACCAACTGAAGGCTAGCTGAACTGAAATAGCATAACCAAAGATTTAGAGAAGTCACATAGAAACTGGTAAGAAGGGCAGAGATGTGGAAAGGGCTAGACTCCGCACCCAGGTCCAGCAACAGCGAGAGGGATATTGGGGCTGCAAAACTCTTTTTCCCCAGGAGCATGAGGTCTCAACCCTACATAGGGATCCCCAATCCAGGACAAGAGAAATGGTGAGAGGAGCCTGCATAAGATCTGGTGGTGAAAATCAGTGGGGATGTAGTCCCCCTGGGAGATCCAGACATTGTCTTTTCAGGGATGAGCACTCCTATTATTACAGCACCAGCCTGCAGAGTGCAGTGCCTGGTTTCTGGCTGCTGGTGAACCCAATCTGCCGTCCTTGGGTCCTGCACAGGTGTCTGCTGGCTGCAGTCAGCATTGACTTATGTGGCCCTCTTTTTCTGGAGAGATTCTTGGTGGAGATCCAGAGAATGACTAACCTGTGTGGTTTTGGAAAGAGGGCTTGTTTCCCCCTCCTTGAGCACATAGCTGACACTACCTCCTACAGCATATTGAATGACTTGGCCAGCACCATCTTGCTGAGTTCAGCAGCACAAGGGGACCAGAGTAGTACACAGAGCTGAGACTTTCAGACTGTGTCTTCTGGGAAGCTTTTGTCCAGGAACGAGATGAGGGGGGCTAGGCTATGTGGCTATATCACGGGGTTGGGGGAGGGCCACTTGTATCCCCTGTGAGCTCAGCTGGTACTACACTGGGATGGGTAAGAAGTGCCCATCTTTCAGCCTTGTATATACCACTCCCAATGGGAGACTGTTTGGATCAGCCCTGCCAAGTCCTATACCACCTGTCCTACTGGGCTCAGTTCTGTGAGGGGAAGGGAGAGTGGCTCAGACCGGGGACTTCAAACGGTAAGTCCTTTGGAGGCTACTTTCTGGGATGAAGACAAAGTACTTAGTCCCTCCTGTAGGCTGGGTCAGCATCACCCCCCACTGGGATACTCTTTTGATCTGTCACCCTGATCCTGGGGCAGCTGAGGGTGCTCCTGCAGAGGGGATGGTTTGCTGTACCCAACCGAAGCCTGCAGCAAGCCTCTCCAGGAGAAACTAGAGTTGGAGACAATGACAGAGACTGGGTGCTTTGGAATAGTGACCTCTTTCCCCTCATTAAGTGCCTGACTGTGTGATCCTCAAGTAGATGACCCTCTAGCCCTACCCTCCCAAACTTTGTTGCCAATAACTACCAAGCTTACCACTTGTGGAGGGGTTTGTGTCCAGCCGGGGCCCACTGGACAGTCTTTCTTCAGAAGGCCCTGGAGAAAGACCAGGCAACCTCAGGGGGAGGCTGAGCAGCTGAGAGGTGAAGACAAATCTCAGGGAACGTCAGTCCTTCTACAGATTTCCCCCCAGCTCTATGCTGGAGGAAGCTGACCCTTTTACACAGATTGGCCCCTCCCATGCATACCCAAGTCCACTAGACACAACCACAGACAATAAACAGCATTGTAGTTCCAGACAGGTAGCCCAAGGCCAGCTACACACAGTATCTGACATTGACCTGTACCTGAACCATGACCAAGGGGACCCAGAACCAATGCAGGCAGTTATGGGCTTCAGACCACAGCAGAGCTAGCCACACAAGTGGCACACACAAGGAGATGCTGGGAGGCAACAGACCCTGCTGGGAACAACTGCTGCTCAGGGGCAGCCCTTGCACAGCATCCCTTACATGGTATTCAAGGCTTACCTTTATAGTCAGTCAGCCTGAAGATATAACTCCACCTACAAAGGGGCCAACATTATTCAAGATCAACTAGTACACAAAGAGGAGGGTGTGCATAACTCACAAGAAACATTTCTGGAGCATGGTGCTCACATAATCAGGAAGACTGTGCCATTGAGCCCAAAAAGACACCTCCATTATTAAACCATCATAACAAGTTTGGAAGTCATACTAGATCTTCCTGAAACACAGAATGGGAAGACAATGAAATATGCTACAAATGAAAGTAAGGAGAAATCTCCAGAAAAGGAATTAAGTGAAAAGGAAGCAACCAAAATATCAGATGTAGAGTTTAAAGCAATGGTTATAAGGATTTTCAAGCGCCTTATGGAAGAATAAGTGATTTTAGTGAGAACTTAAACAAAGAGAGAGTAAGCATTAAAAAGGAAATATAAGCCCTTAAAAGGAAGCAGTCAGAAATGAAGACTACAGTATCTGAAATGAATACGCTAGGAGGAATCAACAGCAGGTTAGATGCAGCAGAGGATTGAAACAGTGACTTAGAGGACAAGACAACAATAAGCACCCAAACAGAGTATCACAAAGAAAATAGAATTTAAAAAAAAAATGAGGAAAGTCTAACATCAAGCAAAACAGCATCCACATCATTGGGGTACCAGAAGGAGAAAAGAGTGCGGAAGAAATAGAGAACCTGTTGAAGAAAGAATGGCTGAAAACTTCTATAACCTGGTGAAGAAAAAGTAACAAAAGTTCAGGAAGCACAGAGAGTTCCAATCAGATTAAAAACAAAGAGACAAACAACAAGACACATCACAATTAAAATGCCAAAGGTTAAAGACAGAGAATCTTAAAGGAAGTGAGAGAGAGACAGTTAGTTTTAGTTACCTACAAGGGAATTCCTGTAAGGCTGTCAGCTGATTTCTCAACAGAAATACTTAGGCCAGAAGGGATTGGCATGAAATATTTACAGTAATGAAAGGAAGGGAGCTGCAACAAGGACTACTCTATCCAGCAAGGCTATCATTTAAAATTGAAGGCGAAATACAGAGCGTCCAAGACAAAAAAATGCTAAAAGAAATTCATAACTACCAGATTAATATAGCAAGAAATGTTAGGAGGTCTGCTATAAGGAGAAGAAATAGAAAGAGAGTAACATAGGTATAAAGAATAAAATGGGAATAAATAACTTCCTAAAAATAATAACCTTAAATGTAAATGGATTAGATGTTCCAATCAAAAGATATAAAGTAGCTGAATGGATAAGAAAACCTGACCCATATATACGCTGTCTACAAGAGACCCATCTGAGAACAAAAGATGCACAGACTGAAAGTGAAGGTTTGGAAAACCATTCAAATGGAGGCAAAAAAACAAAAAAGAAAAAAAAGAAAAACCTCCAAAACAAAAACAAAACAACAACCACAACAAAAAACTGGGGTAGCAATGCTTATATCTGGCAAAGCAGACTTTAAAACAAAGGCCATAATAATAGACAAAGAAGGTCACTATGTAATACTAAAGGAATTGATCCAAAGGGAGGATATAACCCTGGCAAACATATATGCACCCAACAAAGGAGCAAATAAATTTATAAAGAAAATCTTGGAGGACATTAATAGAGAGACCACAGCAATACAGTCTTACTATAGGATTTTAGCACCTCATTGTCACCAACTGATAGATGTTCCAGACCGCCCCGTCCCCCGCAAAAAAAATCAACTGGGCAACAATGACCTTAAATGTCACACTGGATTGAATGGGTTTAACTGATATTTATAGAACACTTCATCCCAAGGCAGCAGAACGTACATTCATCTGAAGTGCACATGGATCATTTTCAAAAATAGGCCACATGTTAGGACACAAAATACATCTTAACAAATTCAAGAAGATTGAAATCATATCAAACATCTTCTCTGACAACGTGGTATGAAACTAGAAATCAATTACAACTACAACCTCCTCCCTGCCTCGAAAAACACTCAAACACATAGAGGTTAAAGTATATGTTATTAAATGATAAATGGGTTAACAATGAGATCAAGGAAGAAAGTAGTCCTGAAAGGGAAGTTCATAGCATTACAGGCCTATCTCAAGAAGCAAGAAAAATCTCAAGTAAACAATCTAACTCTGTACCTAAAAGAACTGGAAAAATAACAACAAACAAAGTCCCAGGGAAGTAGAAGGAAAGAAACAATAAAGATTAGAGTGAAAATAAATGACATAGGGACAAAACAAAAACAAAAACAAACAAAAAACAAAACAAAAGATCAATGAAACCAAGAGCAGGATCTTTGAAAAGATAAACAAAATTGATGAACCTTTAACCAGACTCATTAAGAAAAACAGAGAGCGGACCCAAACAAGTAAAATCAGAATAAAAGAGGAGAAGTGACAACTGACATCACAGATTGTCAGAAAATACTATGAACAACTACATGCCTACATATTGGACAACCTGAGTGAAATGGATAAATTCCTAGAAACATATAATCTTCCCTAACTAAATGAAGAAGAATTGGAAAACCTGACTAGATTGATTACAATAAATGAAATGGAAGCAGTAATCAGAAACACCAAATGAAGTCCTGCAACAGATGGCTTCACAGGTGAATTTTGCCAAACATTCAAAGAAGAACTAACACCTATCTTTCTTAAGCTATTCCACAAAATTAAAGAGGAGGAAAGACTTCCAAGCTCTTTTTTACAAGGCCATCATTATCCCAATTCCAAAACCAGATATAGACACTTTGTAGGCC